GCCCTTTCAGCAGTGAGAATTTGTTTCAGGTTCTTCCAGGTTCCGTTCTTCTTGCCAGCTACTGCACCACCATGGCCAGAGTGCACAAAGTTGGGATCCTTAAATGGCAAAGGTTTGGCAGCTTTTTCCACAGGGCCTGTGCTAAACTCAGAGGACACCACTTTATTGTCACTCATGGCTTCCATGCTGATGCCCTGCGCAAAGCCAGGGCCGGAGAGCTTTTTCTTCTTACCGGTGCTGTACCCCCCTCCGCTGTTGCCGTTGTGGGAAGGGCTAGCAGGCCTTTTCTTGCTATTCCGAGCTATCCCTGGAGTGGAAGGGGCAGCCACAATTGGAATTTGAGCCGCCATCCTACGCTATTTTCCTCCTGCTCCCCTCCCCCCCTCAGGGCGGACCTAAGGAATTTTTTTTTTTTGCTCCTTGAATGCCTTCAGGGCACTTTGGCATGGCTGGAGTGTTGTGGGGATCGAACTACAGCAACCCGAGGCTGCCAGCATTGTGGAAGCAGCCACTTAAAGAACTGAGCTAGGGCTGGGCCCCCCATGGTGAGTTTCTTAACAATATTTTAAAATATTTTTCAGTATCTTCTCTTTTAAAGTTTTACCCCCAAAACTTGTGCCTCCTCTTGTCTCACAGGACATTCACAGTCATTTCTTGATGGAAGAAGCTTTCGGCTGCACCAGTAGATGAACATACTAATTCTGAGAATTATGGTGAGGGTGTAGGGCCAGGGATGATCAGTTGCCAGGCATGAAATGCCAGAAAACTAGGTCTTGCTGTACATCAGACAGCGACACAGCCACTAGACACATATATGACTCATTCCTCCCACTCCAGTGCTGGGTGGCTCTGCAGCTTCACCAAGGGAATCTTGGCACTTCCTCTCAGCAGGCATCCCTGCTTCTGCTGATGCCACTGCCTGCCACCATAAGGCGCCATTCCTGCATGGCAGTGTGATCTCTGGATGGGAGGCCAAGCTACTTCCTGTTTTCAGTGTTTTAAAGTTATCTGATTTAGGCAACAGTTTTTAATCATGGATGTACATTAGAATCATGTGGCGGGCTTTAAAGAACATCTATGCCTAGGGTACCCCAGATCCAGAGTGTTTGATAGTCTGGGTCAGGGACCCCGTGGTAGTATTACAAAGCTTTCCAGGAGTTCTAAGCTGCACCCTAGAGAGTCATTGACTTAGATCAAATGTTTCAACCTTTCTAAACCTCAGTTTTCCTGTACAGCACATGCAATAAGGAGTACTAGATGATCTCTAAAGAGCCTTCCAGCTTGAAGATTACAGGGCTTGTATCTTCACTGTGTGGTATATAAAACATTTTTTTAGACAACATCTTCATGGAGCAAGAATACTCAATTATTATCATTGTTTATGGATTTAAAAATAGTTGTAGGAAGTTAAATGATTAGCCTCAAGACCAGTAGGTACTCAAACCTGATCTTCTGATTTTCTACACACTATTTCTGCATTTAAAACAATGACACACAGTAGGCCTGCATTCTTTCCATTGTATGTAGGGATTACCACAAATCTTGAAGAGCACCTACTGTCATCTGTCCACCTTTATTAAGGTGTGCAAAGGCTTAATTACATGCACCAAAAATTGCCCACTTCTGAAAAAAGTGGGCAACTTTTTACAGTCTGTGGCTATACTGCCTTGAGCATGTCTGATTTCAGAAGCTGAGCAAGGTTGGGCCCTGTTAGTATATGGATGGGAAGAAAAACCTCTTTCTATGATAAAACTACCATATGAAAATCATAAGAATCCTAACCTTGCCAGTGACGGTTGTTTTGGGAATGCCCAGGAGTAAACTGATGCAGATAAAAAAAGAAGTAGGCTGTCATTTTTGGTAGTTACTTATGGAGCACTAATCCTCTTGTGTAGGCATGATCCCTACATGATCCAGAAGTCTTACTGAATTTCCACCCTGACACATTTCATTCGTTTGGACTTAGTGATGACTTTCTCTGTGCTTCCACTTATGACCATTCTTACAAAGAAATTTCTCCAAAGGGTAGGGCAGGAGTATAGAAAGAAAGTGATGAAATTGTTCACAAGGACAGATGGCTTCATTCAATTGTCCCAAAGTATCTAGTACTCAGCCACATTGCAGAAGAGACAGAAGGAGATGGCTAGTGATATGGACCATCTCTAAAATTCAGATACCCAGGAATGGTGAACCTGACCCATGAACAGTGTGAAGGACCTTCCCCTGCCACTGGCCTTGTGCGGTGTGGGGAATGGGGGGAGTCTGCAGCTGGGATGTGAGGAGACATCCTCTGTGAAAGTGAACTTTGCCTGCTTCCTCATTTCTCTGATGTGCTTCTTTGAAGGCAGTAATTGCTCTTTGAAATAACTGTATTGTTGTTATTGTTAATATTATGTATTTGGTACATAGTCTCACTACACAGCTCAGCCTCAAAGTGATCCTCTTGTTTTCAGCCTCCTCAACACTGGAATTACAGGTGCACTCCACCACGCCTAGACTCATGGCCAACTCATTGGCCCAGAGGTGGGACCAGGGTGGCATGTGATGCCAGGGATCAAACCCTGCTCCATGTGCTTGCCTAAGCAGGCACTTAGTCTGCTAAGCTATCTTGCCAACCCTGTGTCTTATATTTTTAATTCCTAAAGAATAGTTTGAGAAGTAATTATTTTCTTCACAGAAATATATTTCATGTTAGAATTAACCTAAAAAGAAAGTCTATACTTTAGTCTTGTTCTTTTGTCTTTTTTCCCACTATAAAATAAAAAAAAGATCCTTCCTTTTTCGAGATTGTGAAAATGTGTAAGGCTTCTTAAAACCTGTAGTGCAATTAAAACGATCATTTGTTCATCATCCATGAGCAGATTCTGACTAGTCAGTACTAACAAATATTTTTCTGAAGTCATGAAAAACATGGGCTGATACTTTAAAATATAATGAACTCTGAATAGGAAAATTCATTCTTGGACACCTATGTAATATTCAGAGGCACATTATGGTTTTTTTCTTGATTCATATTTGTATGCAACATGTAGGGAAACATTTGTTATGGCAGTTATTAATGAATTAACACTGAGCTTTGTTTCTTCAGATCTTACTAAAATAAAGCTAGTTGATTAAATCTTATTTGTTTCACTATATGCTCCAGAAGGGCAGCTGGCTGAATCATCCCCCTGTCCATCTGTGTGCACATGTGCACACACACAGCATGCTCCCTGTTCCTTCCTCAGCATGCCTCTAGGGAATCAGCACAGCCTGATATCTGAGGAGTAATTGTTGTTTTGCTATAAGAGTCTTGTGGAAAGCATCAGTGGCCTTAGAACCAAGCACCTCTGCAGCTGGGCCTTTTAGAAAAGCATAACACCCTACAGGTATCATCCCAGAAGACAGCTTACACTAAGCACCATCTCCCTCACTCACTCATTTGAGGAAGATGCCATGCCATCAGCCATCCCTTGCCAGTACAGGTTTTGGCTGGCAAAGGTGCTGAGAGCACCAGAGGCCATGTAGTCCAAGAACCTAACAAACTAGCCAACAGCTTTTCTTCTCTCAGACTAGATATGGGACCAAAATTCAGACCCAGTGAGGTTTTTAAGAATCAGGATTGGAGTCCTGTATGAATATGATGACTATTGGCTCTTATGCTTCAGCCAACTGGAACACAGATACCAGTGTGAAATGCAGTTTTCAGATGACCTAATGCCTGTTCACTGTGAGGTCCATTCATTAACCTAGTCAATAAATCATCCCTTCCTTGTGGAAAATGGATCTTAATTAAATGCATTTCCTTTTAAAGCTATGTTTTTGTCTAAATTACCTCCAGGGGTATGTGTAAGGCACTTTTAGTACCCCCTTATATTACTCAGCACTAAGTAATTAAAACATTTTTTTTTTCAGTGCTGGGAATTAAACCCAAGCCTTTGCACTAAACTACATCCCCAGCTCATTATTTTTTGTTTTGCGACAGGGTCTTGCTAAGTTGTTCAGGGTGGGCTTGAAATTGTGATCTTCCCAGCCTTGGCATCCCAAAGTATTAGGATTACAGATGTACATCACTATACCCAGCTGAAATACTCTTGGCGAAGTATGAGATGTAGGATCAGATATACTAAGACTGTACTTTAATGAGTGTGTGAGGTGTGTTGGGCATTGTCAGGGTGTAATGTACGTAAGATACATTTTCTCATTTGTGGTTGTTTGGGGAAGCTTTCAGGAGCATCTCATCTCCTTTCCTGGGCGAGTAAGGAGGGATTGGCACACTGGGCAGACCAGATAGTTCCATGTCTTTGAGGCCTTGTAGTTGTGAGACTGAGCCCAGCGGGTTTCTGTGCCTTACACATCCCCTGTACTGTTCTCATGCTGATTTAACAGGCCATTAGGATATGCTAGACAGTATCCCAAATGCTTCCTGTACAAAATCTCTTCTCATACTCAATATTTGGTAAACTGAAGGTTCTTGTTTTACAAACATACAAACTGAGGCTTGGAATTTATAGAGATTTTTGCGCTAGCATTGGAACTTTAGTCTTTTACTGAATAATGTTGGCTATGAAATGCTGAAGGTATAAAAATGAATGTGACACAGGCCATATCCTCAAGAAGTTTATGATTTATGGGAATGAGACACATTAAAATACAATTTGATTTAAATGGTATAAATATTGTAGCATGAAAAGAAGCATAGAAATAATAAGAATGAATCCATGCCTCGTTCTATGAAAGCCTAAAATAGGGCCATTACTTGGGCTCAGCAGCTACAGGAAGACAAGGAAAGACTGTCCAAGCTGAGACTTAACATTTTGCTCCACTCACTGGTCTAAGAGTGGAGAACCCAAGACCATTCAGTCCAGAGTACTTCTGGCAGTTATTTGACAGCTGCTTCAGCTGTGTGTGCATAGACACTTTTAAACTATGGCCTTTGGGGCTGATAACAATATCTGTGTTCACAAATAAGAATTTTTAAGTGGATATCTAGTCCTGAAGTGTTACTAATCTCATCAGGTTTCTGTCTTTTCCTTGAAGAGTACCATTACTTGTATGGCTTAATTGTATTAATTACTGTTAAGTTTTTTGAAGGAATAAAGTATCAGATGCTATATTAATGGTTGTTAGACAACTGGGATCAACAAAACCTTTTTGTAAAGGTCCAGATAGTAAATAATATTTTAAATTTCATGGGCACATAGTCTATTCTCCAAATTCTGTATAAAAACATCCAGAAATGCTAAGGAAATAAATGTCACTTTATTCTAAGAAAGCATTCAGAAAAAGGTGACTGGCTGAATTCGGTCATGAGTTAGTTTGATGTGTATTGATCAACACTTTACAGGGCCAGCGAGATAGCTCAGCAGACTAACCACTTGCTGAGGCAAGCACAGGGACTGGGGTTCAATCCCTGGTAGCACATGCTGTGCTGGCCCCACCCCTACCCTCCCCCAGGGGGCTGAGTCAGCAATCAAGTCTGGGCATGCTGGTGCACGCCTGTAATCCCAGTGCTGGGGAGGCTGAGAAGAGGAGGATCACTACAAGTCCAAGCTGCGTAGCGAGACCCTGTACCAAATACATTTAAAAAGAACTTTACAAATAAATGACTATTTTCAGGAGATAGATACATTTGCCTCTTGTAGAATGTATGATTTTTTTTTTTTTGGTTGTGTTTTAAATTATGTGCAGGTAACATATCTTGGGAAGGAGCTTTTAAAGTACGTTTCCGAAGAAGCATCTGTACCTCCAGAAGCAGGCGCAGGACCTCAGCAGCCTTGCCTTCCAGGTGTGTGCTCTGTGGTGTGTGTTTCATTTTGGTTTTGTTTTATTTTGCTGTGTACTACAGACATTGTAATGATTATTCTTCAGCGTACATTTTAGATTTTTATCCTTTAAACTGCAACAAGTTAAACAGGTGTTTATAATATACAGAAACAACACAACCAAACATAACACTTGCTTTTTTTTTTTTTGGCAGAACCGGGGATTGAACTCAGATCCTTGCGTTTGCCAGTCAAGCGCTTATCCTACTGAGCCATGTCCCCAGCCCCAACACTTGCTTTAAGTGTGCCTCGCTCCTGGAGCAGTGTCCCCCCCCCCCATTATGTCTCTTTTTTACCTGTACAAAAACACTTCAGAATTTGATCAGCACATTAAGAAATAAAAATATACTCCTACCTCAAAAAAATAAAAAGGCTGTGCATAATTGTATGTCTAAGAGAAGAAACAGCACTAGAATAATCTGACAGTGCAGGCATCATTACAAAAGAAAGACTTGGGCCGGGGAGATGGCTCAGTAGAATAAGTGCTTCTCTGGCAAGCGCAAGGGCCTGAGTTCAATCCCCGGTTACTCCCCCCCCCCAAAAAAAAAAGATTTGAGATGCATATTAACTTTGTGTGTTTTAAGAAGGAAGGACTTTTTTTTTCTTAACAGTACTGGGGATTGAACTTACAAACTTGCGCTTGCCAGGCAAGTACTTATTCTACTGAGTTATCTCCCAGGCCCCTAGGAAAGAAGGACTTTTGACCAAGTAACTTCGAACAAACAAATTGAGGATCAATGCTGGCAACTTGTGTATGGAGAATGAAATGACAAATTTTATACACACACACTGTTAGGAATTTACCAGGAAACTGAACTCTTAAGAAGCTGCTCTTCAGAATAATCAAGAAAGGCCACTTAGTCCACTCATATAAGTTCTTGTAAAGTAAGCAACTCAATGCTCTGTGCAATAGAACTGGCTGCAGTCTGCCAGGTGGGTTGCAGTCCAAAACCAATTTCTTAGTAGTTATGGGATTTAAAAAAATACCTAAATCTGAGAAACACTGGCTTTATTTTCCTTTAAAGTAAAATTTACAACTAATAGTTGTAATTAACAATTACATTTAGTTGTTTTGAAGTGAAAAACCTCATTGGCATTTAGCACATTCACAGTGTTGTATAATCACTACTTCTGTGTAATTCTAAAATACTTTCATCACCCCAGAAAGAAACCCTGTGCCCCTTTGGCAATTACTCTCTATCCTCTACTATCCCTATTACCTGGGAACTACTAGTCTGCATCCTGTCTGAATGAGTGTCCCTATTATGAATGTATTACATAGATGTAACCTCACAATGTAAGACTGTCAGGCTTCTTTGATTTAGTATAATGTTTTTGGTGAGAGATCTCAGAAGACTGAAATGATGATAGAAAGGTAGATGGTAAAGACCAGGCTCAGGAGTTTTCATTTGGCAACAGGGACTCCACTGGCACTTGGACTCCGGGTCATGTATTATGCCTAGGCAGAATATGTGTTTCCATTTTGCACATCCTGAATTTGAGAGACTGAGATTAGGGGTGGTGAACTAAATCATCGGACAGGAGATTTTAAGGCAGCCCCAATGTTCAGTTTGTAACATGGATACTGCTTGCTGCTTTTAACCAGGTTTATGCGTTTTCAGAGCCCATTTTAAAAGCTTTCAGTTTTGAGAAAAAAAAAACGGACCTATAAAGTTACGATAGAACAGAACTTGTTTGCTGAAAAGATTAGAAAGAAGCCTTGTGCTTATATCAAGACAGTAGGAAAGAGGCCTGGAAGGCATATGAGAAATCTGAAAGACCCCACTGATGTCAGGCTCAAGGTTGCCGGGCTCTGAACCTTTCTGTTGAGAAGAGACATCAGGGCCTTTTACTCTCTGCTTCCTGATTACCATGAAATGAACAATGTTTCCTCCACTGTTTTTCTAGTATGCTGTTTCTTCATTGAAGCCAGCTGAACATGAACTGAAATGTGGGTAAAAATAAACTTCTCCTGTAAGTTTTAGGTTCAGATATTGGGTCTTAGGCGGATAAGAAAGTGACTAAGAATCTCAGAATGATAGAAGAACTTTATTCTGAATTCTTCACAAAAACTAACTGGTAACTGAAGTGAATGCTTTGATGAACTCTGTTGTTAAAATGTGTTATATGAATGTGTCAAGGGTATGTTTTGTTCCTAATTCAGAATTTTAAACATAAAAGTCCTCTTTTTATTTTTGTTTCTGAAGATTTGAACCCAAGGCCTTGTTCATATTGGTCAAGGACTCTGCCACTGAGCCAAAAATCCAGACATTATTTTGAGACAGAATCTCACTAAATTGCCCAGCATGACTTTAAAAACCTATAATCCTCTTACCTCAACCTCCCAAGTAGCTGGAATTACAGGTGTGCACCACTATGTCTAGTTCAAAACCTTTTAACTCTTCAGTACCTACTATTTCAATTTCAAAACATCTATTGCAGTGAAACATAATGAAATTGTTTGTATTCAAACTCTTGTTCCTTGAATTTTTCTAGGTAATATGTATGAATATCATATAAAAATTGAAAAAATTACTATCTTCTACATAAAAGCATTTCAATGTAGTCCTGTTAATGAAACTCCTATAAAGATGAAGAATGTATTATCCCAAATGTCCTTTTAAGCTTTAAGATGAAGTGAGTCTCTAGTGTATGTTCCCTTGAAATTTCACAGCTTCTCCTAAGCCTTTTTCCTATGCAGCTATGTCCTTTAGGGACCTTTCACTAACATTTCAGTACAAACTAGACAAAAAGAACATTTCCAAACTTAAACATAATTTATGTTTATTATATGTGGACATATTGACACGTTTATTCTTGTATTTTTATTTTTGAAGAGTACAAATTAGAATTAAAACAAATTTACAAGTGATACAGAATTTCACTTAAAATAATAATTTCACAGTATTTGTTGTAATGCATAGTGTTGGGTTCCAACCAGTTATTCATATTACCAGATACATGCATGTAAAATTGGAAGAAGAAAGAAAAAAGGAAAGAAATGTATAAGAAAGAGAAAAAGTACAAACATTTGAAAAAACAAAATAAATTAAAGCATTAACCACTTCTTTCAATAGAAAAGCAGAAATGCACAGTATAGTTGTCCAAACCATCCTGCTTATGTACATAGATAAATCTCTTTCCCCTACTCCTTCTTCTGTCCTCTTCAACTCATTATTTCCATTTGGATAAGTTCATTCCTTTTTCCCAGTGTCTATTGTACCCTTCAGATTCCATTTTTCTCTCTCACATTCTCACACTAAGGCAGTAATACAGTATTTGCACATATAGTTCTGATTGATTTCACTGAAGAGTATGTTCTCTATTTGCATCCATTTACCAACAAAAGACTCAATTTTTTTAAAAAAGACTCAAATTTATGCTGTTCTATAGAATAAATACTCCATTGCATAAAAATATCGCATCTTCTTTATCCATTCTTCAGTTGACAGGCATCTGGGTTTCTAGGATTTAGCTATGACAGATTGCACTGCTATAAACATAGGTGCACATCATCACTGTGGTATGATGTTTTCAGTTCTTCTGGAAAAATACCCAGGAAGAGAATGGCTTGCTTGAATGAGACCTCCAATCCTAGCTTTTTAAAGAATCTCCACACTGATTTCCATAGCAGTTGTACCAGTCTACATTCCCACCAACAGTGCAGAATGGTACTTTTTTTTTCCACAACCTCTCCAGCATTTGTTATTGACTGACTTTTTAAATATTTAGTTAGTAGTTCTTTTTAAGTGTTTAGTACAGGGTCTGTAGGGCCTCACTACACAGATCAGACTTGTAGTGTGATCCTCCTGTATTTCAGCCTCCCAAGCACTGGGATTATAGTTGCAAGACACCACACCCAGTCTCAGTCACAATCTCAGTGTGCCCTGGAGGCAGGGCCTGCACGGCACACTAGGGATCAAACCTCAGTCCCTGTGCATGCCTGAGCAGGCCCTTTAGTCCACTGAGCTATCTGGCCGGCCCCTTGGCTGACTTCTTGATGTTAGCCATTCTTTATGGGGTGAGATGGAATCTCAGTGTTGTTTTAATTTGCATTTCTTGATGACCAATGATGTAGAATGTTTTTTTATATACTTACTTGCCACTTACATTTCTTCCTCTAAGAAGTGTATATTCATCTTTGATGCCCGTTTATGGATTGGGTTCTTGAATTTTGGGTTCAGATTTTTTTAATTTCTTTTTTTTCACTATTTATTTTTTTAATTCTTTATATGTTCTAGGTAGAAGGCCTTCATTGGAGGGAAAGTCAGCTATAATGTTTTCCCAGTCTGTGGGTTTTCTTTTTACTATGTTGAAAGAGTCGCTTTGAAGTACAGAATTTTTCAAAAAATTGAGCTAGCAGTTGCTGATTCTTTGAAGTATTTCCCATGCAGTTTGGTTTTTGTTCATGAACTCTCTATCTACCCCTATATCTTTACAGTTTCTACCTACATTTTCTTCTAGAAGATTTAGTGTTTCTGTTTTAATGTTTAAGTCTTTGATCCATTTTGACTATTGCTTTGTGCATGGTGATAGGTATGGGTCTAGTTTCAGCCTTCGGCATGTGGAAAGCCAGTTTTTCCAGCACTATTTATTAAAGAGGCTATCTTCCAGTGTGCCTCTTCCGTCCCTTTATCAAAGATAAGATGGCTGGGTGTGTTTACAGTTGTGTCTCCATCTTCTAATCTGTTGTATGATCCTTGGTTCTGTCTCTATGCTACTACCATGCTGATTTTATCACAGTAGCTTTATAGTATAACTTCAGGTCAGGGATTGTGTCACCTCTTGCCTTTCCTTTGCTTCCCAGGATTGCTTTTGATATTCTCGGTCTCTTCTGGTTCCAAATGAATTTGAACGCAGCAGCCGGGGTTCAATCCCCAACATGCCATGCTGGCCCGGACCACAGGGTGTACTAATATGGTGATTAAGACTGGCTGTGGTGGTGTGCACCTGTAATCCCAGC